ATATATATATATATCTTCGGTATATGGCTCCAGTGGTCATCATCTTCTTAGCCGAGATTCCCAACCAAGGTGAAAAGAGTGGGGACCAAATTCAAGATGCCGCCGAGAATTCCTCCGAGGAGTCCACCTGAGAGTAGCTGCAAGGAGGACTGCAGGATCCCAGTAGACGGGAGCGACGTGTTGCAGGTGGAGAGAGGAGTGGGGATGACCAGCTTGCAGCTATTCAACAGCGTGAGCAATGAGTCCACTGGATTCACCAGCATAGTAAACACTCCGTTGCTGTTCGTGATTGCGCTGGATATGACGTTGCTCCCACACTGTAGCAGCACAGTGGCATCTGCAATCGACACCAAGGAGATGCTTAGGAAACTCTCGGAGTTTGTTTAGGTTTGAGTTCTGACACAACACCCGTTATTCAATTGCATGACACATAGATTGAATCTTTTTGACAATCTAGTCCAATCATTATTGGTTTAAAGGAGCTAACATTTATCAAGGCCCTACAGTGAGCTGTTACTGCTATAGTGCAAGTAATAGTCCATGAGGCTCATTTTCCAGTTTATTAACTCACAGAAATATGCTCAAATGAGAAATTCTGAGTGCATATATGGGAGCAGTAGAGAGTGTTGGTATGGTAAAGGAATGAGGAAGAATGATTATGAGGTATCTTAGAGAAGACTAAGCACAAAGTTTAGGGTGGTAGTGTTATGTGGGAGAAGAAACACTGAGGCTCAAGTACGTATACCGCTGATAAAGCCTTACTTGGAAACACTGGTGTTGCTGCTGTAACAGTGGTGGTGCTTGTGCTGCATGGCACAGTGCCACTGACGATGATGTTCCCGAGCTGGGCTATCGCCACGGGTGCAATCACTGCAACAATCATGAGCCCTACAAGAAGGGAAGCCCTGGAAGCCAAAGCCATTGTGGCGGATTGTTGCAGACGTCGGAAGCTGCAAGCTTGCTTTGAGAACTCGCAAGCAGCCACTCGGTAGTTTGCTTGTTTGTTCTACAGTTTGGTGTGAATTTATAGGCAACGAGTGAGGCGATATTGCCGCTGTTCTTGTCGTCCCTACGCCATGGGTTCTCTTTGATCAAAGTCTTGGGTAGGGTGGGCCTTCGATTCCTGCCTAGTTGATGGCTTGCACGCGCGTGTTTGCTCTATAGAGTGGACCAAGCACAACCATACTGCTTTGTTTGGATCTTCTTCATATTCTTTTGCTGCGTCATTGCTGAGTTGAATTCGCCTTCTCGCATGTTTTTCTCTAACGTATTTCTTATGTAAAAGTACCGAGAATACATGAAAGTGCCGGTTCTTGAAGTCCAATAATACGTTTTGATGCACGCAGAAAGTTGAAGAGGAAAAGTTTCAGCTATTACTAATCACATAAAGGGAGGGTCCTCACTACAAGTTCTGTAGATGCTTGTGTAAGATATCAAAAGTGAAATTATTCATATCTCAAGTATATTTCCCCTTACTTCAGCAGCAATTCACATGCTTAATTTAGGATTCCCAACATTGTTCTCTCTCATTCTCTCTTGTACATGTCTCAACGAAGTATGCTGATAACCCCCCTGTAACATATTTGAAATGCATTCTACTATTACTTTCCACAGTAGCATCTGTTGAGGAACAACTTCGATGAGAATCTGAAGGGCCTTTTACACATGCATGCATGCTGTGCTTCTTCCTGTCTTCTCCAGTTTAAAGGAGCCACTACTTGGCTGATGTTAGGCAGGTTTCAAACCAAGCATGCATTCTGCAATTCGGAGTAGAAAAGAAGAGGAAGGTTTGCTCTCTCTATCTTTGCAAGCTACAGAATCCACAAGCAGACTCTCTCTACCATGTGGTACCTGCATGGTATCGCCAATCTTTATTGGCTTCTTCTCCTACATTGCGGCAGGCCTTGGTCCCAAATGTCATTGGATCTGTAGATTTAGAAGCTAGCGGAAATGCATATAATAAAAAAAAAGAAATTTAAGATTCTTGAAACATCCTTAAGATGAGAGACGACTCCTCAAATTTCACCCTATACTCCAACCATTGGAACTGCTCCTATTCATTTAACAGGCCTCTTAATGAAATACTGGAAAGAGGAATCTCTATTTAGTATATTCCTTAATTCGATATGGTATCAAAGCAAACCTCTCTTCAATTCAATATGATATCGGAGCACCTCTTGCCTTGAGCAAGACCTCCCTTTAATTCAATATAATATTAGAGTATCTCTTGCCTTGAGCGAGACCTCCCTTCTTCAGTGTCTAGCGATAGCAATCCTCTTCTCTTAGTGAAGATTACTCCTCTAAAAGCAACAATGATGAGGTAGATATGAGCAGCAGCAGATATGATCTAAAAGCAACAATCCTTCCTTGAGTAAGACCTCCCTTCTTTGCTGTCCGGTGACAATGATCCTCCTCTTCTACGACGATAGTAATCCTCCATCGATGCTGCTTACAAATCTGCAACTATCAACGTAGTGTTTCCCTCATTTGATCAGATCAACAAATCTGATCAATCCTACGGCGATCTGCTACCTCACTGATAGTTGTTGTCTACCCCAAGCGCTCCCCCTTCTCATAGGGCACTCTCTACCGGCAAACCGCTCCCCTTCTTCCTTTAGCGGTTGATCTCTATCACCATTGATCTTCCTCATCGACGGATTGCCGCTCACTATTCTTCATTTGCCTTGATCGATCTCTTCCCAAGCGCCCTCTCTATACCGAGCGTTGCAGATCACCTACCTTCTGCTAAGCAGATTTCGCCGACAACTACTGATTTCGTCTTCTGCCAGGCGGTCTTCGCTAACCCTCAACGATCCTCTACAACTCCTCACTGCAACTGCTCAAATAAGTTGATTTGTTGCTAGTTGGTGGACTTCAAGCCACCGCGATCACCCATAGCAAAGTTCCCCTATTGCAGATTGCTGCAAGCTAAACCTCCATTGTTGTTCCTTATCAGTCGACGGACTTCAACCATCTCTTTGCCATCTTCTCACAAGCCGACAATGAACACCATCTATCACCGCTAACTACTATGCACGGTTCTCCATCCTATCACACTCGTGTATTTCTTGAACCCAAAAACTATCACTAAAAAAAATCTAAGATGCTCTACTTCATGATGTTACATGGACTCTTGTACCATCTTATCATACACAAAATATCATCGAGTGTAAATAGATCTTTCGAATTAAGTGAAACCCAAATATATCCGTTGCCAAATACAAAGCACGTTTAGTGGCAAAAGAGTTTCACCGGTGATCATGTGTTCACTTCACAAAAACATTCAATCCAGTTGTTAAACCGACAAAAATCTGATTTATCTTGAGTTTAGTTATCACTCAAGATTAGCATATAGATAACTGGATGTTAATAATACTTTCTTATAAGGGACTTTAACTAAAGATGTCTTTATATAGTAACCTCATGACTTCATCCACCATCAATATCCAAGCTATATTTGTAAACTACGAAAAGTTATTTATCGATTTTGTTAAGCTCCAAGAGCATGATATACTGAACTTGGCTATTTCTGGTGTCAATTGGCTTTACCAATTATAAATTTGATATCTTTTTTATTTTTATGACAATAAAAGGGAAATACTATATATCTACTAGTGTATGTGGATGACATTATCGTTATATATAATAATCCTATAAAAATCAAACAATTCTTGGTAGAATAATTCTCTATTAAAGATCTAGGAACCCTAAGCTACTTTCTAAGAGTGGAAGCAATATTCATATCTTTTGAATTTTCCTATCTCAAAAGAAATATATTTAAGATCTACTATCAAAGATGAACATGTAGAATTGCAAAGAAGTTACCACACCACTCTCCACTACTGAATCACCTAAATTATATGATGGCAACTCTACTATGGATTTCACACAGTACCGACAAGTAATTGATTCCTTACGGTATTTATCTCTCACACGTTCAAACATCTTATTTGCAATCAACAAATTATCACAATTTATACATTGACCCTTTACCATACGTTGGTTTGCAGTAAAACAAGTCCTGCGGTATCTAAAAGAGACTCTTAATCATGGATTTCATATTTGCAAATACTCATCACTTCATTTGCATGCCTTCGTTGATGTTGATTGGGTAGGTAATATTGATGATAGAATGTCTACATCAATCTATGTTATCTTTTTTGAAGCAAATCCAATCAGTTAGAGTTCTAAGAAACAGAAAATAGTTACAAGATCCATTACTAGAGTTGAATATTGAGCCATCGGCATCATACTTAATTGAGTCATCAATATTCTACAAGAACTTGATATTATATCCAAATCCACTCTTATAATATACTGTAATAATATTGGTGCTATCTACCTATGTGTCATTCCAGTGTTTTACTCACGCATCAAACATATTGTCATCGATTTCTACTTCATCAGAGATCAAGTTGTCATATATCAACTGTGTGTTTCTCACATATATACTTCTGATGAACTAGCAAATTCTCTCACAAAGCCTCTTGCCCGTAAAATATTTTAATTATATCAGTCCAAGATTAATATCCTTGATAGAAGCTTAATCTTACGAGGGCATGATAGAAGATCATGATAAAGGTATATATGGAATGATATCCATATTTATTTATATCCTTAATCAACCTATGATTTAAGGATCAATCACATAGTTGATCTTAATCAACCTAGAAAAATCTTTTCCTCAAAACTTATATAAATATTCATCATCTTAATAAATAAAATCTAACTCTTTCGTAACATATTTCTCGGTTCAATATATTTTAAGTTCTATTATGAAAGTCGTTGAGTCATTGTACCGATGCTTATCAATCCCCTATTCTCAAACCAATTCTTCCCTCTTTGTGCCATCGAATTTCTTGGATGGAGCCCCATTCAGAACGAGTAGGGACTCGACCGGTTTCAACTAGTGCGAAAGGGGATGAAGATGCTCCCTACTGCCCCTGGATTTGTTTTGAACGTTGACCTTTTCGCAAAAGACCTCCGATGAAAGGCACGGTGAACTCATCGGTGATGACGATACTGAAGGAACCACCGGTTGGCACCTCACATGATACTCATGTGAAGGAATGGCAGGTTTTGGAGGCTTTTATCGTCTCAGTGACGCCGTTGATTTCCATGCCTGTAACTGACGTTACCTCAACCGATGCACCCTCTTATGACTCTTGTCCTGATTCATTTACTCCTATCACTGCACCACCTCAAAAGTTGCAATCTCAAAAGATGCAACATGCTCTTCTCACTTCAGATGTCAACACATCTGTCGCACCCTATGTTGGATGCGGGTATGTTGGAGGATCCAAAAAACTTTTACCAGAATCCTCTTTGCTTGCACCTGAAGTGGCCATGCCCGGAGGAAACCCCAGAAAACATCCGTGTTCCTCCTTGATCGACTGAAGTGTCTGCACTTGCTTCTCCTCAAGCAACCTCTCAACTCTATGATGGGTCCCCCCGAAGCTCAGAATCTTGCTGACTATGTAACGATGTGTCTGGATGCTCTACAAGATTCACGCATTACTCAAACTCAGATGGATGGTTCTGAGGAATTGGATCTTCTCTGGGATTATCTTGTTTAACAAAGTAAAGACTGCTCTAAACAATATCTCATCAGATTTATACACATACTTTATCCGGTCAAGTCTTCTATGCCAATATCTGAGCTTGTGTTGCTTTCTACTATAACCTGCTCCTCTGATAGAGGATCCTATATTTGATGGACATATATCTGGAAATTCTTTCCTTTAATAATGATTATTTTATCTAAAACTTGTAGAGGCATAAGAAGGAAGCCAGTTCGTGATTTCCTTATGGTGGAAGAACATATATACTAATCCTTTTGTAGGAAACACATGCATCGTTATTTCTCGTGTTCCTCTCTTATCCATATCCGATATTTCTAGGCCATAAAACACCGAAAATACTAAACAAGAAAAAATCTAAACTATAAGCCCAAACTATTTAACTGAGTGTTGACTTAAACCCAAAACAAACACTTAGGTTTTTGATGTCACTTATGGTGCATCTGATTTCAAAGCCCAAGCCCTTATTTATAGTTTAAACAGAAGATACCAAACTTGATTTTCCTGATGTGGGACTATGAGACTTGCCAAACTAACAATAGATTTCAAATAAATCAATCTATTAGAGGCTTTCATGATTTTGTTAGAAATTATGATTTAATGGATCCAGGTTTTTGGTTCTAAATACACTTGGTATAATAATTGTAAAGGCCATGCTCGCATTTCTGTTCGATTAGCTTGTATTTTTGATAATTCTACTTAGTTGCAAATCTTTGATCTATCTTCTGTTTATCATCTCAGATCATTCACCCCTTAGAATCTATATTAAAACCACTAATCTTAATCTGGTGAAGTGTAACTCCTTCAGTCCTTTTGATCATTTCCATCACAACCTTTATAAACTAAGAGTTGCTTTTTCTTCTTGGAATAAGCATTGTATTGGTAGATTAGAACATAATCTTGAGAAACTTCAAACCTCAACTTAAATCTCAATTAGATGATAGTCAACTTCAACACTTTGCTTCTCTCATAGAAGGCTAAAGCAAAATGTTCTTTGGGTTAATCATGGTGATAGAAATATTAAATATTTTCACAATCTTATGACCCATTGTTATTCTTATTCAAGCCTCACTTGTTAGGATATCTTTAGGTTTTAATAAAAGTCTGAGATAATGATTTTACTTGACGGAAGTTCTTGGTTCCTGTACTCCTCAACCAACAGACTAAATTACCTTATGACATTCCAAAAATTAAAAACTTATTACTGTTACACACTTTGGACCATTTTAAATTATAGAATCTTTGCTAAAAGTTATCTCCGATAAATTGAAACCTATTATATCATTTCTGATTAATTTCAATAAATGTGCATTCCTTCTAAACTGAAGTATCCATATTAATTGCCCAACAAGTTGCTCCGACCATGTTTTCTTCTAAATTTACTCAATGGGTTTAGGCATGTATGTTGGAGTATAATTTAATTGATAAAAAGAGATTTTAAGTATTAGTTTGGTAATGATGCATAAGACATTCTTATCAAAGATTGAGAATTCAAAACCTCAACTAATACATTTAGAAAGTATCAACTAGTTTGACTTAGTAATTTATCATAAAATCTTGAATTTGAATTTCATCTTCGTCACTTATTAAAAAAAGGGGAGCTGAAGTAAGATTTGTTGACAAGAAGCATAAGATAACAAAGAAATCAATACAAAACTGCTACTGCTATCAAGTATTAGATAACAGAGGAGAATTTTTCAAAGTAAGCAACAGAGGTGACAAGAAAGCAGTTTCTGGAGATACTCATGCAGACAAAGCTGCAGCAGTGCAGCTTAAATGTTAATAAAATGCGCTTGGTGGTACCATTTAGTCAGCCATGCCGGCCTTGCAAGGAACATTAAGATGCAACCTCAAACAAAAGAAACGTTGCTTGATATGGTGCTAAAGGCCATGACTCAAAGGGTTGCACAATTAGTCAACCACCCTCATAGGATCTTTCAACAGTTCCGTAATAAGACTGATGTATACTTTGAACAAGCACCAAATACACAAAACATAAGCTATCAAAAAGTTGGATTCTTGTTTGTTTAAAAGTTCCACGAGAATACATAAATCAAATCATCATCTAAGATAAGTAGAACATTCACCAAACCAAACAGTTTCACTCAAAGAACAAATTAATCCAAGGACCGAACAAGAAAACTGGAATTATTGTTTGTTTTGGTATGAGTGTTCTATAAGATAAATCACAGCATCATCTAAGATGAAGTAGAACATCCACCGATGCAGAAGAAGCCATAACATATTTGATAGGTGCCATTGACGACATATCTCATCCCAGCTACCATTATCACAAGCTCTTATTATGTCTGCAAAAGTAGGAATATGCACACAAACCAAACAGCCTCCCCAACCCTATGCACATTACAAGAGACCTCATTTCTAAGCTGGCATCCTACATAACACTAGTGCAAATTTACTTGCATCAACATATTAGAACATCTTAGAAAGAAACCCTGCCTCATTTTGCGCTCCGATCATAAGTGAGTCTCTATCTCTCCTCATGGAGCAGATAATGGAACAGCTCAAACCTCATTTGTAGGATCCCGGGATCCGATGCTAACCGTTCCTCCTCCAACTCTTTCATATGCATTGGATGATGATTTCCTCCTAAATCGATCCCAGTCCCCGCTTCCTGCTTAGCACCAAAAAAATTCTTGGTCACCCATTAGATTGCAGAAAGTTTGGCTTGGTAAACTCCAATAAACTAATGTCAAGATTCAGAATACAATACTTCTGTTCTCACTTAATCAAGATGTTATGCCCAGGAAACAGCAAGGGATTCTACAATGAATGTCTCGACAGAATTACGATACAGAAACAACCTACATCGTCACATCGAAGGAGCACTAAGATTCATCAGAAATGAGTAAGTAGAGATTACTCAGAATATTTCTAAAGCCTCAACCTACACTTGACAATTTACGACTTTGATTAGTTTTGGGTTTATTATTCTTGTACAACTATGAGAACTTTCTAGAAATAATGAAAACTGATTTGATCAATGTTGATTCAACGAGGGAATTACACTAAGTTAATATCAATGGCAAGAAAATATCCACGCAGCCAAAGCCAAATAGTTGAGACATTATGGTTTGTTATTGTGTTGTTATTGTTGCTTTTGTACAATTATATGGCAGTAGAGATAGATCCAAAGAAATTTAAAGAGCTTCGAAACTATTCAACACAACTTAGCAAAAAAACTAATGTCAATCACCTGACCTAATGGGCTAATTGACTCATCAACTTTGTTTGACCTAAACCACTAATTAAAATATTTAACTTAAAGTTAATAATAATAATATATTCATTAAACTCTTATAAGTTAATCTTAATCTTACTCAACTTTCAATATGAAACTAATCAAGACATTATAATTTCTCAAACCTACCCAAATAATAGATATGACGCCAATCAATTTCGTTTAACCTAAGCTAGTTACCAAAATATACTTATCAAGATTTATAAGTCAATCTTAATTTTACCCGCTTTCAATATAAAATTAATGTTAAAACTAAACTTTTTTCTCTTATATAACTACTAAATCATAAAACTTCAAATTATCAAAGTTATTAAGTAGAAAAAGGACAGCTCGTTCGATCTGCTAACAGTAGAAAAACTCAAAAGTAAACCTACCAGAACAACGACGCGTTAGCAAGCGATCGAAGCATATATCACTAATAAGAGATAAATCTATTCTGTTATGCCCAAAAATGGCCCTTGATTACGGTGTAGATGTTGCTAAAGAAGCAAACCCTCACCGGCGAAGGGCGAGATGGGCGGCGTGGATCCTGCGGGCGACGCAGGCGGCGTGGAATTCCCCGTAGAAGGGCTCCCAGCTGGCCGCTTGATCATGATGCTTCGCGTCACCCTCACCTTCACCTCCTCGCCGCCGCCCTCCGATCGGCCGATCCCTCCTCCGTCCGCCGTCGGTCCCTCTGCTCCACCACCAAACGACCGCCACCGGAAGCATCGGATCAGATGCATCAGACCGTCGGACGCCTCCGATCTGGGTTCAAACCCGAGAGAAAAAGATAAAAGGAGAAAAAAGAAAAAAGGCCGAACCTTTGCTGGGGTTGGAGCGGAAGCCAAAGGAGGAGTGCTTCCGGAGGCGGCCGAGGCCGGTCTCGGGTCGGGGCCCGGCGACGGTGTCGTCCCAGAGCTGGTCAAGAAGGCCCATACCTCTCCACGGAGAAGCCCCCGAGAAGAAACAGCTCACAGTGGCGAGAACCGATTTATAACAATAATAGCAACAATAACCGATCTCCAAGTAACAAGGGAAAGGGATATTTATAGATGGAACGGGTCAGGGGTGAACCGATCCGAGCCGTCGATCCGGATCCAGATAATGACGTGGCGGCGTAATTAAAACGATCAACTGGGTCGTTCCCGTGTAGTTATCGGTACGCGCAATTATCAGTGCATCGCATTGCAGGAGGACAGGTCATGTTTTCTTTCATGATGATTGACGTTTCAGTTTACTGTCGGATGGATTCCAGTGTTTGTGTTGGTGGTGGAACAGGAAGAAAGAAGTGGGAGACAGAGAGGCGGCGCGTCTCAATCACGGTTGAGATGAATTATATTGATTTTAGTTAGACAAAAAGTAAATTCAATCCTTTTTTTTTGTTTGGAACCTAATAAAAGTGAACTGAATTTCTTGTTTTATACAAATATAATATAATATTTTAATTACATAGTTGATACTGATATATTATATTTTTGATAAAATAATTAAAAATATAAATATCAAAATAAAAATAATATATTAGAGATATCAATTATTATTGTAGATATCCATAGAGACTCATCATATTAGAGTGTAGATGAAGAATATATTCTATTTACTGTGCGGTTATGGGACAATGATAATATAAAATAAAAATATACATATCTGAGAATTAAACATAATATTTATAGCTTCAACATTCCAAGATTAATCACTAACCAATATTGTTATGATGTAAATTTTATAATTATAATAATTATTATTTTTTAATAAAATATAATATTATTAATTAATTTTGATAATAATTTTATTTTTTTTGAAATGAAATGAACTAATTAGAAGAATACGAAGAATATATGAGTTTCTTACATCAAATAGGAATTCTCTATCCCTTCCTTCCCTAGTTTGTCTAAATGGAAGAGGTGGTGGAGATGGGGAAGGAGATGGAGACTAGATTAAGAAAGCACTTATCGCCCTCTCTCTTATCCCGTTGATATCTCTATTTTTTTAATTATAAATATTTAATAAAATAAAATATAAATATAAAAAGTATGTGACTGTAAGGCAAAGTGGATGCCAGCATAAGTACTTTCATGACTCTATCTTGCTAAGAATAAGAAAGATATTTATAGTTGTGTCAGCAAAAGGAGCAGGAAAAAAAGAATTCAATACAAACTCCTTCATGTGATCACTATTTCTTCCCACCAAGAACAAGTCCAAGCTCCTCGTAGTAGAGGAATGCCCACAGCCACTGATCTGTGGCTACAGCAAGCAGTCATAAGAGAAACATATATAAGTGCATTGTCCATCACAAACTAATTTTCTTTGTTGGAGAATGACATTTCAAGAC